TACCAATCTCGCAAGTTCTTCAACCATGAGGTTCTTCTTCGTCCTGGACTGCGTTTGCCTGCTATAGATAGAATCCAAGATAGAAATGTGATTATCTGGTATAGCGATAAAAGCAAAGGGAATCATGATAAGTTTATGAAGTTGTCCAAGTTTCGAAAGTAGTAAAGAATACAGGCCATTATTATAAGGAACCGATACAGTTACTGGTAAACTTGTCGATATCAGTTTTAAAATAATTATCATTATAATCATTTAGTTTATAAATATGCTGACTGCTTGATATATCTTGTTTTATTTCCCCCATATGTCTAAAGGCACTTTTCTGGTCTACATTTTCTAGTTCACCTATTATCGACCATTCTTATGACATATCATTTCACAAAAGTAGTTATTATTTTTACAGCATGTTCTACTTTAGTGCTTTGCATTTCGAGATTTGGAATCGGATCTTCTAAAGCCGATTCCAAGACTCCAGAGCTCAACATTAAACGTTTTATTTCATATGTGTGATTAATATCTTACTAGCTGTCCTTTTTGTCAGAGTGTTAGGGTTTTTATATATTTGGGGAAAAGCACGACATATTGATTGAAAACTTTTTGACCCTCTACTAATTTCTACTAATACGTATTTCTTGGCATAGATAGATATTTATACGAAGTAGACTCCTCTATTTGAATTTCATCTATGTCGATGAAACTATAACGATTATAAATTAACATGTTTGTTCAATATCAACAACTATAAAATAATATATCACCTGGAAAATCGCGTATGTTACATATATTAAACTAAAATATGAGAACTTAAGAACTCCTGTTTTTGTTATATTAATTTCCGATTAAACAGTCAAAATACGTCGCAAATAAGCTAAATACATTGAGATATTATTTAGACTGAAAAAATGGAAAATAATATGTTTATAACGGAAAAATAAAATATAAATCAAATTGTCTGGAATGTTGCAAATATAAAATAAATATTTGTTAACATACAAGGAATATAAAAAAAACATTTTTTAATATTGCAAACATTTACAAAAATAATTCACTTTTCAAGAAACTGAATCATATTACAAGATTTATTGCTTTATAATTTTTTTTGAAAAATTTATTATTCGTTATAAATCGTTAAATGTTTTTATTTAAAATTTTATACAAAGCAGGAGAAAAAATTTTAATATAATGCAAAGTTTTTAGACTCGTTCTAATATAAAACTAAAGCACATAATATAGTATATAATCAGCTAAGTCGACTCAGCACAAAATATTGAATGTTGATAGCCAAAGAAATTTTATTGTTTAATTTTTTTTAAAGCTGCTAATTCTAAAACGGTTGTACTGTAGCCAATTGGCTTGTTGTACAAGTTCTGCGTATAAAAGCAGTCCCTGCTAATACCTGTAAAAAGTTTTATTTGGCCCTGGTATAATAAAGTCTCTTGTAAATAGATCCTTTCTCTCTAGATTAAATTTTCCCTTTTCCTATTGATAATGCTGCTTTACTGTGTTGGAGGTTCGCTTAAAGGGCTCAATAATGAATGGGCTCATCTGGACTGATTTGGGACAAATACATTTCCTCCAGACAGTTCCTTCTACATTTTTATTCATAAAAGTCAGTTATTCCTAAGATTTTTTCTGGGCCATACCATTTTGTCTCATGTCCATTCTATATCTACGAGTTAGGACAAGATTTTATCAGACACGAGAGTGTGCCATGCCCGCATTAAGGTTATAATCCCACAGAGTTCGTCAGCTCTCTTGGACATCGCTAAGACAACACTTTTTCTTGTGTGCCGTATATCTCCTGACTATGAAGGTTTTACACTTCGGAATTGGAGAGCTTGGCTGTCGCAAAACAGATGTCAGTACAAGATGAGTCAGTTTTGGTGACGTTGTCTGGTGATTTATCGATTGAGCTGGCGTAGATGTGTATGTGTGTATATGTATTTTGGGTATGTGTATTTGTTTGTTTTTGTATGTGTGAATGTGTGTTATATTCAATCTATAAATCTAGCTAAGTTAGTAACATAGCTGCAGTCCCTGTGTCATGTTCTCATGTATTAAGTTGGAGCTAACTCAGGCTTATAGATTCAGATCTTCACTGATTATCCCAACATTTTAATGTCTTTTATATGTGTGTATAAATTCATTTTAGCTTGATTACCACTGCTTTTTATATACATGCAAGTAAAACAAACACAAGTAATGTGGCTTCGGCTAGTTTTATTTTGATGATTTTGTTGCTATTATATAGTCGATCAATTTTCCACCAAACCCTTGTAGTTTGAGTCTAGCGTGGTGCTGGGTTCTATAAATAATTAACTAAATGAGGCAAGTTTCAAAAGTCTTTTCTAAGCAGATTTGTTTATTTCGTCTTGTTAGTTATTACAGAAGAGTTCTTTGTTAACGATAACGCCGTCATCGCTTGCCAATGGCTATCTCTCGTTTGTCCGCACTCCCACCAACAACCAATCACTACCATCGATGCGCGCTGAAGGTGGAGCATTGGCCGAGAGTATAAAACGTCGTCAAGAACGACAAAGACCAAGTTTGATCTAGATTATTAATTTAGCAAGAACTACCATGGTCTCTGAGTAGTGATCAGAACCATTGTCCTTCCCCGTTCCTGAGATCGAAGTTTGATCAATCGCTTCCGTACTGCACCTTACTTTGGCCGAGTATTGATCGACTGCTCAAAAGTCTTTGGGTATTGACTAAATAGTTTCCTTCATCCTTCCTATCCGAAGGTCGCTAACATTTATTTCTGTTCACCGGCGATCAGCAGCGTCAAGGATCACAGTGCGTTTATTTTATTTTCGTTTTAATCAGAATGGTGTCTAATGTAGCTACCCATCATACCTTAGAGTTACGGCCGGTTTCACAAAGTAAAGTTACCTTGCGGTTAAGAGATAACCAGTGGTTATCCCGAAATATAGGTTTCGCAATATAAGGTCAACAGCTCGGGTTGTAGTTAACCTACAAACCCAAAGTAAAAGCGGTGGTTTAGAGTTTGACCAGGATATCCTAACCTAATTTCGAATGTCGTTTTATTGACAAAGTGTAAATTATTAATTAATCAAATATGTATTTATATAATGTAAATGCTTTTAGCAGTGATGAGGAAGCTAACATACCAAGAAACCGACTAAAAAGTCTTAATAATAAGTAAAAAATAATAAAACAAAACTTAGAAAATGCAGAAACTCTCTTCAGACATGAGATATTTTAGATTACAACCTTAAAGAAGTAGACGTTATACATTGCAGGACAGGCCCTTCTTTGAAAAAATAAAATTTTAATTATAAATACGGCAAATTTGACGTTTTGATTTTTAACGGAAATTGTTATCAAAGTAAAATTTGTTTTAAATGTAACGTATTTTTAATGAAAATTGTAGTTTATTCTTAATAATATAGTTAGTTCTTAATATCAAAGTATCATAACAAAATTGTTTAGGAATAATATTATATTAATAATTATGTATTACTTCAATATTAACAATATTAACTTCAATATTTTTAAAACTTTGTTTAAAGTAATGGAAAAATGAAAAGTTATTTTTTCACAAATATAATTAGAAATTTTTTTTGTATTGGTAGTTGGAAATTATCCACAAGAATTTTAATATGTATTTGGTAGTATTCTTTGTTTTATTAGATGATCTCTTATAGACCTCTATAACTTTTGAATCTTTTCGTCTGATTTATCTCACTTGTGCTACCTGCAAACTTCTTAAATAATGATTAAGTAAAAGACAATTTCTTTCTTAAATTCTTCATTCCATTAAGGTGTCTCTCAAGGATCTGCATTAGGTTCAACTCTATTCATCCTTGCAATCAACGAACTTGCAGGTCTTTTCCTGCTCTCATAAAATTTGTTCAATACGCTGATGATGCAATCATTTACTGCTATGGTAAATTTGTACTCACCACATGAAAACTAATTCAAAGTACAGTAAATCTTCTTTAAGATATATTTAACAAACTATTATTATCAGTGTCTCCGAAAAAATCCAAATTAATAAAATTTTCCAGAAGGACATCCATTCCCTTGCGCCAAATTTTATTTAACAATTTCCCACTATCTGTTGTTAGTAAATGTAAAATTATTGATATGATATTTGACTTCAAATTAAATTAGAAGAATTGGAACATGTATGAACTTACAACCGATTGTTTTAAAAGGCTGAACGTTTTTAAAATTCCTAGTCATCTTGAATGGAGTGCCGAAGAAACTACTTTATCTACAGAGCTCTCACCCGATCGAAGCTCGCCTATGCATTATATATCTATTTCTCTGCATCTCGATCTTAAATTTGACACTAAGATGACAATCTTTTCTATTTTCATATGCTGCGTTAACACCTGCATATCCCTTCAAACCCGTTCATTCCCTAATTATCACAATACCGCTTTCTTCCAATACCAATATCCAACATCATAAATACTATACCTCAACTAATTACTTTACTCCTTAAAAATATTGACCTTCGCCTGACTAGTTTATTTTCTTTACGTTCATTTTCCCACTGTGCTAAACATCTTTTTTCAAAAGTCACCAGGTTACCATATTTAACAGGCATGAATCTCCTAACATTCTTATAATTTTTAGAAATTATACAAAAAAATCATATAATTTAATTTTCTATTCCGATGACTCTAAAACTACCACTGGTCGTACTGACACCACTAAATATGAACTTGTAATATCATCTCGGCTATCCCTAATATGCCGCGTTTACACTTGTGAACTGTATAATATTCTATTGGCTTTTAAATGCATCTCTCATCAAAACAGACATGTTATTTGTTCAGATTCCATTGCATCTATGCATCCAATCAATACATACTTACTGATTACCCATCAGTTTAAAACATTCATGACATAACAAAATTTCCGTGGTCATCGTGTAAAAGCCTCTCTCTTATATGGCTACCTTCTCATACTGGAATTACTGGTAATGAAATAGCAGATTATTTTACCAGAGATCTGGTGTCATCACGATGCAACTAGCTAAAGATCTTAAACTCATTTTCAAAAAGTCAGTAAAGGATATTTATCGCAAAAGGGCAAAGCAACTCTTCATGAACTGCATTTGTTTATTGGTCAACTCTCCATGGAATACCTAACCAGAAAAGAAGCATCGATCTTATTAGAAATGTTTTCTTGATGTCTTGTTTATTGTTACCATTGCAATGTTTACCTGACTGTGAAACACATTCTATACACTTGGCTGAAAACAGTTCACCAACCTGTATAAAGCTATGGACTTAAAACCAACTCTTAAGGAAATATTCAACAACCCTACAGAGATCACGAAAATTATACAGTTTCTAAAAACCGCTTCATTCTACCACAAAATGTAACCTAATAGACAGTATTTAAAGTAAAATCATCAATGCCATTCATTAGATCGGAACCATTCTGTGGCGTTGCAAAGTCAGTAACAAAAACGGCTACAAGGAAGTGGATAACTCACAAATCTCTGGAACGGTGGAGGAATTCACTAGGATAAAGACAGGCGAAACAGTTCGTTACAGAACATTTGCCAAAATTTACGGCAGACCTAATAAGCAAAGACAGGAAAACAGTCAAAGCCATAGTAGGTCTTCTAACAGGGCACTGTAAGCTGAATAGAAACTTGAAGCTGATGGGATTATCAGATGATGATCTGTGCAGATTCTGTCACCTCGAAAAAGAAACAGCAGAGCACATTTTATGTCAGTGTGACAGTCTGGCAAATACGCGGTTCTTTGCATTAGGAGAAGAAAATCCACCAGCCAAGAGCAACATGGAAGGTAGAGTCTCGAAGCTACTAGACTTTATAAAAAGGGTCAGCCTAGAGAATGTTATCTAGGACTAGAGGACCACCGTAGAAAAGGTTGCAGTGGAATAGACCTAAAGACCTCTCTAAATCTATCTATCTATCTAAAGTGAAATAATTGTTATTTGTTTTCCGACAACTGTATAGTTTTGAAAAACTGGTCAACTCTACCACAATATTTATCCTAATAGACATTAAGTTAGTTAAAGTGATATTAAGTATCACTTTAATTATTTGTTTTTATTATTTGTTATATATTTATAGTATAATTCGTGTATCAGTGGCCGTAGTTGTCGAGGTATTTCATGTAAATAAAAAAAACTATCATAGCTGTAAATAATATCACAGATAAATATTTTTTGATCTTTTTAGCAGATTTTAATTTCTTTTTACTTATTTGACACTCTCAGGCATCTGACTACTATAAAAATTGCAATCCTGCTTTTGGCTCCCTCGATAAATATTTATTTTATTACGTAGTCAGCTACTACGAATCTCGTGCATACTTTCAAAAAGTCGTACGATATTATCTTATTAGGCCATCGAGTTAATTTTTTCTGTATCTACTTGACAATACTTTCCTAACACTATTAATGATCTGCAATCAACCTAATCAACTGTAAAAATTTAGTTGGTAAGTAAATGAGAAAAATAATATTTTTCGAGAGTACTTTATGTAAACAATTGTACATTTTAATTTTGCTTAATATCTTCTTTCTCACTTTCATTTTTTGGGATTTATAAAATACTGCTTTTAATACTTATTTTCTCTTTTATTCGCTTCAGTGCTGTATTTTTTTTATTTGGTATCAGTTTTTGTAAATTTTTGATATTATTTATATATCTATTTAGATTTTTACTACGATTTCAAATCTTTGTTTCTCTTTTCTACTTTAATGGTTTTAGTAGGTATTGTCAACGTTTTTTTATATTCTTATTAAAGCCATAGTTATATGTTTTCTTCTCTTATTCTTTCATGTAATTTTTCAAGTTTGCATTTCTAATCTAATTATAGCTATAGCCTATCTCTCCTTTAATTACTTACTAATTTTTATTCTTAATTTTTTTCGTACTCTTGTTACGCGGTTTTTCTTTTTTTTTGTAAAATTGTTTTATTTTACAGACTAAATATTTATTAAGTCGTTTTTCTATTTATTTTTTGTTTTTATTTTATTTTTTGGTTTGTTTTTTTACTTTTTTTTTATCTTAATTAAATTTAATAACAGTTTTAATTTTTTTTTTTCAGTGGAAATATTCGACAGTTTGATGACAAAGGCGGCCATGCTGCTGCAAGCCGTCAAAATCTACTGGAAAACCCTATTTGTTTTAATTTACCCATTAGTATTATTACCAGTTTTTTTGACGAACAATACATCAGCCTTCAGATGTCTTTACGTGGTGCTCCTCATGGCAGGTAAGAAAATTTCTTAATTAGATCAAAATCTTAGATATAAATGATATGAAAAACGTATACAAAGCAAATAACAACGGACAAATAAAAGAACAGACCAACACAAACTATTAAACTCAACAGAATTCAGGATATGTGGGGCCGAAAATCTTATTCGTACGAAACTAATTTTTTTGTTCGAATTTTTATTTTGCGGTGTAGATAGAAAATGTGCATTTTGAAGGTGTAGATCAAAATAAATCGACCGTTTGCTATACGACTAAATCTACATTTAACAAGATCAAAAATAAACCGAATGTCAACAAAAATTTTTACCGGAAGAAAAAAAAATTGTGAACGGAAATTAAATAAGATGAATCAACTAGAGTCGTTATTGGTAAATCCATCCAGAATCTTCTTCTTCAGCCTTAAATAACCCCAACTTTGAATATAGGCCTCTCCCAAATCAATCCAGTGTTTTGGATCTTCTTAATGTCATCAGCCCATCTCATTTGTGGTCTTCCTCTGCTTCTCTTTTCTAACCATGGCCTCCACTCTTATATTTCGTGGTTCCATCTCTTATCCTTCAGTCGGGCATTGTGTCCTGCGAAGCTCCATTTTAATTTGGCAGCGTGTTCTCCTGCGTCTTTTACTTTGGTTTTGCTTCTAATCCATTTGTTAATTTTTTTTTACACTAATTCTCACTCCGAGCATTGATCTTTCCATCGCTCTTTGTGCTTTCACTATTTTATCCATATTAGAATTGGTGAGTGTCCACGTTTGTGAACCATACTTGAGTATAGGAAGGATACACTGATCGTAAATTCTGGTTTTCAAATATTGTTCTATTTTAGTGCTTTTACAGATCCAACACAGTTTTCCAAATCCTGCCCATACTAACCTTATTCTTCTGGTAATTTCGGCAGTTTGATTTTCCTTGTTAACTTTCATTATCTGTCCCACGTAGATGTACTCGCTTACTGTTTTTAAATTTATGTCGTTCAACGTTATTTCTCTAATGTTCGGTGTATTTGTCAATATTTTTGTTTTTGCCAAGTTCCAAAGCTTGAAATAGTTGCGTCATCATGGCCTGTAGTTCTTCGAAACTTATAGCGAATATTACAATGTCATCAGCGTATCTTAAATGACTCAGTTTTCTTCCATTAACATTTATTCCTTTATCTACCCAGCTAATATCTTTGAACACGTCTTCCAGACCATGTCTGAATAGCTTTGGTGAGATAACATCTCCCTGGCGAACTCCTCTGTTGATTGGTATAGCTTTGGTTTTCACATGTATTTGTATTTTCATTGTAGCTTTCTTGTAAATATTATGTATGAGCATTCTTTATCGGGAGCCTATCCTGCAGTTGTCCACAGGTCTCTCTATTGTATAAAATTCTATGGAATCGAATGCCTTTTCATAATCAACGATGTATAAGTTCAAGTGATATTCATTGGCTTTCTCTATTAGCGTTCTGACTGTAAGAAGATGATCCGCTGTACTGTAACCCTTTCGGAATTCTGCCTGCTCTACTGGTTGATAGTTATCGAGCTTCGACGTTAACCTGCTAGTTATTACTCTCATAAACAGTTTGTAAATTTGGGACCGCAGGGCGATTGGCCTCTAGTTCTTCAGATTTCCCCTAACTCACTTTTTGAAGAGAAGTATTGTCAAACTTTCATTACAATCATCTGGGACTTCTCCTCTGTGAAAAAATTCGTTGAAAAAATTTTACAATTCTTGGAGAATAATTTGCTTAGCTTGTTTTATTTCGAAGGATTCTATGTTAGGGAGTATTTCTAAGTTGACATTCGTTATCTTTCTCTTAAGATCTTCCTTTGCAGTGTTATCTGGGTTATTGTTTGAGGAATATAAATCACGGTAAAATGTTTGAGTAACTTTTGGGATTTCGTTCTTTTCTCTTATTTCTTTTTCACTTTTATCCTTCAATTAGATTAGTATAGGCTTTCTTAAGTTTGATCTTAAGCCTTTCAGGTCTCGGTTCTTTTCTATTATTTTTTCTACCTTGTTTTCATTGTAGATCCTTAAATCTTCGTTTACTCATTTCTTCTTTATTTGTTTGTTTAATTCTTTTAAACCATTGGTGATTCGCTTTCCTTCGCTTAGAAATGTCCGTCTCTTTTCCATTAATCGTGTTGTTAAACAGTCAGTTCTGCTTTCAAGAGCTTTCGTTGCATTTCTTTATTAATTGTGTTCACACCAGAATATTCTTATTGGTAATGTTTCACAAATTCTTTTCTTAAGACTTCTCTGTACTCATCTCCCTTCTGTCGTATTTTAGTTTGATCTATCTGATTACAATAATTATGTAGCCTGTTCCTACTGGTTTTCGTCTGTGTAATATGAATCCTTGCTCTTAAAAGGCAATGATCGCTGCCAGTTGTAAATTGATTGAGAGCAGCTATGTCTTTAAAAATGTCTTTGTTCCACGTCCATTTTCGGTTTGCTGGTTTCTTGAAGTGGGTGTTATGGCATACAAATTTTGTTGTTCTAAGAAGTTATATAATTTTTGTTCTCTTTCATTTCGTGTGCCATATCCATGCATCCCCATTTTAGTTTCAGTATTTTCTTCTTTTTTGCCTAATTTTGCGGTGAAATCTCCCATAATGATGGTATACTTTGTATTATTTTTTTCTAATGCTGTTATCAAATCTTCGTAGAGCATTGCAACTACCTCTTCCTGATGTATTGTTGGGAGAGCATACACTTGTATAATCTTGATCTTGGTTTTATTATCTGGGTCTATCATAATATAAACTGCTCTATTAGAAACGTTTTTATATGTAGAAATGTATGGTGAGACACTTTTTGACAAGAAATCCTACTCCAATATAGGTTCCATTTATTTTCACTGTATAGTATAAGCGATTTCCAGAGTTTAGATGCATGCATTGTTCGCCTCTTCTTTTTCACTTCTGGCAGACCTACAATATCTCACTTTATCTTGGATAGTTCTTCTTCTAATTCGTAGACCTTTTCATCTAATGCTCATCTTTAGCTATATATTGAATGTTGTATGTGACTAGTAGTAACTGTTTTTGTTTGTTCGTAGCTATTTTGGCGCGTTTTGTGCCAAAATACGTGAGGCTGACAGGTTTTCCGGTGTGCGCTTCTGAGCTGCTAGCTCTACCCACGTAGGGTATCGTCCCATTTTGTTCCAAGTTCAACATGTTGTGTTTTGAGGGTTTATTGGCATTAAAACACCACGCTGGCCGGACGAGTTGGTGAGTTTTCGCAGTATCACAGCCGGTTAAATCAGTATTTGATTTTCGCTTGCGACTTTGTGGTATCGGACCTGTCAGAAATTGTATTCCTCTGTCACGAGCCACTAATTACACAGCTGCTGACGCATGTCATGTCCTCCGTTGATCCGCGGGTACTTATTTGGCGAAGCCTTATTCATACCTGTCCTGCATATCTACAGGAACATTCCCTATCAGCTATTGGGATGCGCCGTATTGGGGTTAAAGACTTCCCCGCCCAGTCTGTCTTGCACAAAGTACTGAAGGACCCCTACTCAGTTCAGCGTCCCTCCTCTACACAAGCTGAGACCGGCACGGATACTTGGAGGGATAAAAAGTTTGGATATGATCTGACGTTACTCCTGAGAAACAGTGGCTTCTTCTGTATGGTATTAGGAAATAATCTCCTTACAATGACATTTTACACAGTGGGGTATAAATCATATTGTTAACTTATCACTTACTGCTATCAAAAATTTCTTGACAGATCATAACATTGGATTTGTTTTAACGATTTTCGTTAGTTGTAATGTGTTTTGTGAAAATTAAATCAAAAATTTGTAAAAATCTAATGGAGATTTCCGAGTTTGATAGTCAATTTTGGAGTTTCTGGTTATAAAACCAACCGTAGTGGAGACTGCTGCTTTTGATACCATGTAATGTCTAACTCTGATCGTGGAATATTGTATTATAAGAATTATTATTATTTAATGGCGATAAAATTATGTGTGTTGATATATAATATAGGTAAAATCAAATACAGTTGTGAATTGACAAATGCTTTATTCTCTACAAGATATATAGAAAAATCTTTACTATTGTCTAAGGCACAGTTCTCATGTGGAGTATTGCTCTCAGAAGTGTGAGGATTTGATGGGTTTATAAAATTGCATGCACTAGGACGTTTTGATACAAGTTTCCGTGACATTTTTCTAGTCATACACAAGGACATATTTTTCAATATTAATTAAGCTTGCAAATTATGTAAAAACACAGGTATATTCCGCAGGTGATATAATAGTATTTTTTCCTATATCTTTCTCAGTTAATCTAACTACCCGATCAGGAGGCATAAAAGAGTGATCAACCACTTCTTCTTCTTTAAGTTCCATCTTCTATCGAAGGTTGGAAATCATCATGGCTATGCGGACTCTGTTGACTGCCGCTCTAAAAAGTTCTGCACTACTGCATTCAAACCATACCCTTAAGTTCTTAAGCCAGGATATTCTTCGTCTTCCCACATTTCGCTTTCCTCGGATTTTGCCCTGCATAATAAGTTGTAATAATGCGTATTTTTTGCCCTCTCATCACATGTCCCAAGTACTCAAGTTTTCGTCTTTTAATAGTTAATATTATTTCCGCCTCATTTCCTATCCTTCTAGTTACTTCCATGTTTGACATTCTTTGAATCCACGATATTCGTAGGATTCTTCTGTAACACCAAAATTCAAAGGCGGCCAGCTTATTCAGATGAACTTGTTTTAGTGTCCAAGCTTCCAGACCATAAAGAAGAGTAGAGAACACGTAACATCGAAGCATTCTCAGGCGTAGTTTCTAACCTTATATCCCGACAACAAAGAAACTTTTTAAGTTTAATAAATGATGTACGTGCTATTTCAATCAACCACAGGAAACTTAATTTCACTTAACCCTAATATCTTTGCATCTCCAGAATTCTTGGCATTCAGTATGTGGTAAACTGCTGAGCTTACTTCATTGGATCCCTTGACAATTTCGCTACAATTGTACACACATGCTGGTTCACAGTTTTTAATTAATGAAGGTAACACATCCGTTATCCATGTATTTGCGGCAGATACATCGGCATTTTTGCTTTCCAACAATTTTTTTGAAGGAAACTTGTGAACGATTATTTCATCTGCAGAACCATCCATTTGTCGCTTTGAAGTTCGCATTACCTAAATTTTGCATCTGCCTTTTCGTTTTTGGATTTTTTTTGAATTAACTCGCCAACAGTTGATAAAATCGTCATAATTTTTAAAAACTTTGTTCACCTGAGCTTGTTAAATTCGAAATTTTCTAGCAATTTCAATTTGACTGCACTTCGATTGTTTCGCGCATTCAATGACATTAACTTTTTCTTTCAAAGTAAAATCCTCTCACTTCGAATTTAACATTGCCATGATTCACTTGCAAACAGGTAGTTATCTTGGTGGATTCTAAATTAACTGTTTCTAAAAATGTAATACTATGTAACAGACAACGAAGTGGGTAGGCAATAGAAATTTTTAAATACATAAAAACGTGCTTTATGAGCTACGGATGCTTGGGGAAAATATCAAATTGGTGTTCATAATAAATTAATAACATCGATGAAGACATGAGAAATATGGGAATACGTGCTTGGCAGAGAAAGGCGATGGATAGGGACGACTGGAGAGAAATTCTTGAGGTGGATAGGGTTGTAAAGCCAGAATGATGATAATGAATAAAGTAATAAGGTATTTATTACATACAGACCTTAATAAACCAGAATAAATTATTTAAATTTTTATTTAATCGTACATAAACGTTATTGGTTTTAATTGAAAAATATTCTATTAAGCGGTATTATCTTATTCCTATAAACGGATAAATTTATTAAGGAGTTAATGGAAATGTTTCGGGACCCTAAATTTTTATTCCTTAAACCGGGATACCTATAACCAGTATTCTAATAAGCGGGTTTAGTTGTATTATTTTTAATATGAACAATAGATGTAGAGCTGTAATAAACCAACATGAAATTTATACAATACATAGGGGAGAGTCCTAGAGTACCGTCACCTTAAGGTTTATCAACAAAAAAATCAAAATGCTAAAAGGTACATGTTTAATACATCCTGTCATGTATGAAAGGACTATTATCCTGTCAATGAAAGTAATAAACAATCATAATGTTTCAAAATAATCACTTTATTAATGAAAATTAAAGATAAGGAAAAATCAAACTTTATAAAATTGGCCTCCAGTACCAGCCAGTAAATATATTACCAATTAAACAATACAGAAATCACAAATATATTGTTTGGATAGCTCTGATATGTTCGCACAAGCCTCATGAACCCAAATATTACAGTTTCCACACTGTATCCAATCCTCTTCATGAGATTCAGTGCATAAAGGACAAACTGTCTCTTCTTCAACCGGTCTGCTAAGAGGAGGTAGGTTTTCATCTTTATTTTTCCTACTTTTCTTACTAACATATCTTCCTGACAACAAGCTTTTACCTTTTTGAACATATTTTCCTGAGACCTTATTTTTTTTGTTAACGTCATTTTCCACAAGTAAATTCTTCCCTCGTTTAAGTGATTCGACGCTTGTTTTGCCTGCTTTTTTCTCTTCCAGCATTTTTTTTGTATGGAGAACCAGTTATAATTTCGCTTTTTTCAGCTTTACGACGCCGGGCAGTTGCTCTTCTTTTAGAAGCATCAGGAACCGGTGAGAGTTCTGTAAGTGCAGCCTTAAAATTGTCTGTGGATAGGTCAATTGTAGCTTCTTCTTGAGATTCTAATTGCCGCAAAAAAGCAATTTGTGATTCTCCATTAGCAAGAGTAGTTTGGTTGTGGGAATGCACAGAATTTGTAATATGGGCTACGAGATCAGGAGCAGGAGTAGTAGATGTTGGTTCTAGTAGTTGTGAAGATGAAGGCAACGGTTCTGATGTTGAAGGTGTTGCTTCTAGCAGTTGGGAAGATAAAGGCAATGATTCTGACGTTGATTGTTGTTCTGTAATGTTGGTTATGTTAGAACAAATAAAGTCCAAATCATTAAAGACATTTTTATCAAAGGGGTGTATGCCTGTGCAACGAAAGCCACTAACTGCGATTTCCATTCGAGAAATTCGATTAAAAGCTGAAGCAACTAAGCCAGCAATCTCGTATTCACTGATTCTAATATCGGGATTTAATCTCATCCACAGGTCACATGCATTATTATAAGCAGCTTTAAATGGCTTCATGAACGTACGATCCAGTGGCTGTAGCTTATGGGTCGTATGTGGTGGGGTGCTAAGCATATGGATGTTATTTTTCCGAGCAAATTCAATAAAATCTAAGTCCTTCTGACTCGCATGTCCATTTAGAATCAGGAGAACTGGATTCTCGGCTGTATGATTAGAATACTGCACAAAATGATGCATCAATTTTAAAAATAATTCGGCATTCATCCAGCCGTTTGGCTGAGCTTCGCCTACGCTCTCATTTGGGGCGTTAACCATTAGTCTTTCATTCATTCGGACTCGTGGAAATATAAAATATGGTGGAACAAATTGACCTCCAGCGCTCATTGCAAAAAGCACCGTCACATTCTTTCCACGTTCTGCTGAAGTCAGTTTTCCTACTTGTTTTTGGTTTTTAGTAGCTAAAACTTTGGCATGTTTTTGGACAATGCTGACACCAGTCTCGTCGCAATTCCATATTTTATAAGGAGTGAATTTAAACCTCTGTATCAAAGTATCTAAACCATCAAAGAAACGCTAAACTTGAGGTCTGTTAAATCCTACTGCTCTCATTAAGCTCGTTGATTCAGCACTCCGCAATGATAAATTACTATGTCTTTTCATAAAAGAATAATAATAGTTTTTTCCCTGCCATTTCTTTTTCTTGATTAAACTGGTGAGGTAACTTCAACTTCTCTGCCAGTTGAAAAGCAAGACGAAAAATTCTTGGCTGTTTAAAGGCATTAGTCTATTGGCCAAGTCTTTAACATGTGTCGCCAATGTTTCTTCATGTTCAGGTGAAAAAGTATTGTGAAAACGACCCATAACTGGCTCAATGGATATCTCTTTATTATTTTTAATAGCACTTACTCTGTCATTCAATGTAGTTCGTGGTATCTGATAGCGTTCGGCAGCTTGGCGTGGACTCATCTCATTATTCAGTACCTTTTCCACGGCTTTTTGCATGTTCGCAGGATCCCAGCTGCCCTTTTTTTGCCTCATATGAACATTATTTTTATCACTTGGCATTTTTGCGTACCTGTAAGTAAAGAAATCTTTTATGTATGCCGGTCGGTACTGTGGGACTCTCCCCTATATATATGTATATGTATATATATATATATATATATATATAATATTAATATAATATGTAATATAATAATATTAATATGTATTATATACATATATATATATATATATATATATATATATATATATATATATATATATATATATATATATATATATATAATATATATATATATATATATATATATATATATAATACATATTAAAGATGATTTTTTTAATCCGAAAATTTAAATTTTAAAAACGCAAATTCTCATTTTATTTTTTTATTTCAGTAAGATACGTCAGTCACAGAATAATAAAATAATTGTTATTTATTCTGTGCTTCAGTGGATACTTAAATTATTAATATTTATTACAAAAAAAAAAAAAATTATTTATACAATTCTTAATCATCTTTTTCTTCCTAGGCTACTGGGTCTTCGAGGTTCTTCCTCTTCCAGTAACATCTCTAATCCCAATGGTCCTCTTTCCTCTCATGGGAATTCTCGACTCAGACCAAACGTCGCTTTGCTACCTTAAAGAAACAAATATGATGTTCGTCGGTGGGCTTATTATCGCCATAGCTGTAGAACATTGTAACTTACATAAGAGGGTTGCACTCTACGTTATTAGGTTGGTAGGGTGCAGTCCTAGGAGACTAAACATTGGGCTGTGCTCGGTTACCATGTTGGTTTCCATGTGGATTTCTAATACCGCTGCAGCAGCTATGATGATTCCGATCATAGGTAAGGATCCTAATTATAAATATATATTCCATTACAAACTTACTTACTGTCTTTTAATAAATTACAAATTTATAATTTATAGAAGCGACATTAGCAGCTTTAGAGGAGCAAGGAATCGGCGAAGTATTTGAACGAAACGATCTCGAAGGTGACGAAATAGCGATAGAAAATAGTGATATAGAAAATAAGAGGCCTACGAGAACCACCATGTGTTATTTTATCTCCACTGCCTATGCTGCTAGTATTGGAGGAATGGGATGTATAATTGGATCTGGAACTAATTTAACTTTCAAAGGATTATATGAAACTTTTTTTCCTGAAAGTCCAGGTAAGTCTTTATATGTTTATTTGATATATTAAAGTCGGTCAGATAGCCAAGCGTTCTAGGTGGATGAAACGTTTTCTCTTCACTGTAGTTAAGTAGAGTGATGGGCAAGTCTTTGCTGAGTAAGACACAAAACGTTGAAGATGTTCATTAGCTTAGGTATCAGAACTGAAATGTAGGGTAGGCAACCATAAGTTATTTTAGATGGTAGCATTGAAGTGTTGTGTGTCAATGTCAATTGTCTGAGCTCATTATTATGAAAATTTTGGTGGTCAGAAACTTGCGATGGAAAAGGATAACCGAAAATGAGTTTATTTAAAAGCCCCATTGGATAGGAATTCTCTTGAGATGGGAATACAATCTTCAAAAATGTTAGTGGCTTAAAATTTACAACCAAAAATGTAAAAACGGTATCGAAAAGCTACACACAAAAACAAAAGATCCTTTCACAATACAGGAGTCATCGAATGTTGTTTTATTCTATACCGTGTACTAATTGTAAAAAAATATACATAGGAGAATCATCTCGTAATTTTCACAGCAGGGTGATCGCACATCGTAGTGATATAAAAACCAAAAAATCAATGCATATGACATGACAGTAACATGCATTAACTTTGAAACATGAATTTAATTTCGAGGATTCCTTGTATTTTGGCAAAGGAAAAGAACCATTCAAAACGTGTTTTTTGGAAATGTGTTTCATAAAATCTATACAGCTTTGCATCAATAAAAAGTCTGACATAGAAAAACTAGGCAACATTATTTTTATTTACTGGTGAAAAACATCAAATTAAATAAATATATTCCTTGTACATAAATTACACCCTGTATGTATATTATGTTGCATAACATTAAGACAGGTTTAAAAATTAAAAAGTATTATCACCCAAGATGGGCCTTTAGTATTTCTTGAAAAGAAATATAATATCAAGTCCACCTAATTACATTTTAATTACAGGGTTTTTACTTTCTGTTTTCTTTGCATACGAGTTAAAACATATCAGTAAAAGATGCCATAAACTAAGTTTTACTATCTTTACCCAAATTTGAAAATGTATTTTGTCCATGATTCTATATTTTAATGTGTGTTATCAATGTTGAGTAACAATGCTTTTATAAATAATCTCAACGACTAGTAAGTTACCACTGAAGAATTGTGATATTTTTTAAATAATATACATATTTGTCTTATTACAGTGTCTTGAAACAAAAAGTCAAAAGAGTGTTTTTTAATATCCCGACCAATTTTCTGACTGCAATATACATACAGTGCTTTTCAGATAAAACTATTAACCTTAAATATCTTTTGAACTTCTAGTTTTTAGAAAAAATGCAAAAATGCGTCAATTAATATTTAAAAGGGGAGACATTATATCATATTTAAGATTGTTGGGAAATGCACCCTCTCACCCCGCGTATCATTAATCATTTTTTTTTAAAACTACTTCCTTATTTTTTTATTTGATATTTGGATTCTCCTCTTTGTACTGATTTGAGAAATGTATAACATATGATGCTTGAATTAATTTGATATAGAGAAAAAATAAATACAAAAGCAAGAAAACTGGACTGTAAAAAAAATTTTACAATTTTATTACAACAATTAGAATGAACATTGTCCTACCAAAAAATTTTTACAATAATTGTTCAAAATGACCGTCACTCACTTCCATTGCAATATGTACAATCTATTTTGAAATTTCTTCTCTGACGTTGCTTAACACGATTGCATTTAATTAGTCGACATTCATCTGAATTTTTGTCGTAAAATCATCTAGAGATTCTGATTGAGTAGCATACATTTTTGTTTTTAAATACCCCATAAGAAGAACTCTAGGGGTATTAAATCGGTGACCTAGGCAACCAATCCATCATCTGTCCTCTTCCACCTATCCAACGATCGGGAAACGTTTCGTTTAAAAATTGTCGCACAGGTAAAAGCGAAGTGTGGAGGGAGCTCCATCATGTTGAAATACAACCAAAATCTTCGGAAAGTTTATTATCATTTTCTACTATTGTTCTAATACGATCAAGTATTGATCGTATTAGAACAAAGCAAATATTGTTTAACAATTGTGAAGTGTTAATGATGCAATATGTCATTACTTCGCCAAATTCAAGACGGCGATTAAAATCTTCTTCATTTAACCCTTGTACCAATTTAATTTTATATGGATGAAACTTAAATTTATGGAGGACTTAGAAGGCTGTAGAATATGAAACGCCGATTGCTGTGCTTATTGCTGACAGTGATTGCTCAGCCTCTAAGTTAACTTGCGCTAAAACAGCTATTTGGATTACTTCGTTGTTTACAACTTCGTTTTCTGTTGCTATATATTTCTGCATCAGTTTAATCACATACTTATGAGTTGCATGTCTATTGTGGTGTGTTTCATTAAAAATTCTAGCAACAGCTCTTGCACAATTATTATTTTTGTAGTATAAACCTACAATTTCGATTCTTTATTGCAAAGTACAAACTACATAAAATAAATATCCAAATAATATCGAAAACCTTTGATAAAACTTTAATAAAAAGTGAAGTTTTTTGTTTCTTGGGTTTTGAAGGTACTATAAATAGTACGGTTTAAATATTTCTATCTATCTAATTAGCCTTCTTCGGTCCATCTTTGGACATAGGCCTCCCCAATCCTTTTTCATTCTTCTCTGTCTGTCGCTACGGTCATCCATCTAGAGCCCACGTGCTTCTTGCTACGGTTAAATATTTAAAAAGTTTAAATTATGGTGATGATACGGGAGGTGAGAGGGTGCATTTTCCAACAACTTTAAATATAATATAATGTCTCCCTCTTCAAATATTAATTGACGTGTTTTTTTGCGTTTTTCCTAAAAAGTAGAAGTTCAAAAAGTTTTGAAGGTGGGTAGTTTTATATGAAAAGCACTGTATAGAAATGATATATATATAATATATATATATATATATATATAATAAAAATATATATATAATATATCAAACAAGATAGTTTATTAGGTTTGCAGTCAGAATATTGGCCGGGATGTTAAAAAAAAAACACATCTTTTGACTTTTTGTCTAGCTTTCGGAATGGTTTTATTCCTTTTTCAAGACACTGTAAATATGTAAATATTTAAAAATATCACAATTCTTCAGTGTAACCTTACTAGTCGTTGAGATTATTTTGTAAGCATTGACACTCAACATTTATCCACATATTAAAATATACAATTATGGACATAATACATCATAAAACTTTTAAAATTTTGTTGTAAAAATAGTAAAACTTGATAGACGCATGTTTTTACTGGTTTATATTAACTCATACACGAGAATGGAAAGAAAAAACCCGGCCAATATTCTGACTGCAACCCTAATAAACTACCTTGTTTGTTTATATCGCGCAGTCACTAATATCCAGTATTTCATAATATATATATATATATATATAATATATATATATATATATATATATATATATAAATATATATATATATATATATATATATACATCATCATCATGTGCAGCTTTGTCGACCGTTTCCAAATTACAGTGCAGCCCCCTTATTTCAATGTTATTCTATGTTCTTATTAGTATTAGTATTCTAATTCTAATTAGAATACTAATAACTAATACTAATATAATATAATATATAATATATATATATATATATATAAATATATAAATATAATATATATAAAATCTAAGGTAATAAAATATATTACAAGAATAACAAGAAGCTTGGCGCAGTGTGTGTTAATATTTAAATTGAGTGGCTCAAAATTCCTAGAAAAAGTTGATTGCTAAATAATTAAAAAAGATTTTACTGTTCACAAGTCGAAGTAATTGTGATAAAAAAAAGAAACAAAATTTTCTACGTTTTATGCTTTACTATAAAAACTATGCATGCATGCGCAATCTACTATGCTTACGCAATCATCTATAATCTAAGAAATAAGTATTGTATTCTGTAACGTTTGGAATGAACAGGAGACAATGTTAGTGATGAAGAGTTTGTCACCATGTTTGCTAATTTTATCCCCAGAAATATATTCATGTCGTTCAGATAGCTCAGCGTGCTGTGCGGCTGCCTCTCATTCGCTTCACTGTCGAATGGTTTAGTGGGATGTGGGTCGAGCCCAAGCTCGGTGTACAGAAAACAAAAAGTCTAACGCAGCAGTTTAAAATTCTAGATGAATCTGCGGCTTAGACTAGGATATGCTGGGATTCTGATCGGCCTATGGTGGAGCAGTAACGGCAAGAGATAAGGGCTTGCGGGCTTGGTGATACTCCTCCATAGATCCCTACCGGACGGGCGTAACGCCTAAAAAACCGGATATATATATATATATATATATATATTATATAATATATATAAATATTATTCATTAGTGACGAGATTTATTTAGTATATTAGTCTAAGATTCCACTGAAAGATTACTACGTTCATTACGTAGTCAATCAAACTCAGATTTACATACATATTTAAGAACAGATGAATTTATAACAGCCTGTTAGTCAAAAATGACCGCAAATATTTTGAATGCAATTAATGGTAGGTAATTAATTTTTGAACAAATACTAAAAACTAAATACTCCCTTTAAAAATAAAGCTTTTAACTGAAATCCTTAAGAAACGAGAAGGTGAGGTAGAACCTGAGGTACCAGAAATCACCGAAAAGACTTAGTGCGGGCTCACAAACTGGTTTGGACATAGATAATGAAGGCGAAATCTCCTGGAAGCATTATTCTCCCTCAAAGAGTTAAAGGAAATAAGTCCAGGGACCACAAAGACAGGCTTTACGAAGAAATAACGCTAAGATCCTCCAGATAAGAAAATTAGAAGAAGCAATATCTATGAGCTAGTAACTGAGTAGATATAATAGGCGGCATCTGTAGAAATTCAGACCATAATGGAAATTTTTCGAGGGTAGCTATTTTTTTGCTGTAATCCCTTCAGGATATGCCCAGTATCGATAATCACGATATTGCCAGTCGCAAACCCTAGTGCTAAATTTTTTATTTAACAAAATCTGAAAACAATTGAAAATTTCTCAATTTTTTTGCTCCTATTTTCATTTATAATTCGAAAATATATTGATCTATAGAGAAAAAATTATAAGTTTTGAAACATTTTCTGCTTCAAAGTCGCATATTTCTTCTGGATTTTTTTCTGTGCGTGATTTAAGCCATGTTTAAGCCGCTGAGCATAAGAAAATATGTTTTGTGGGGCGTCACTTGGTTACACTAAATAAATCTAATACTAAAAACTTTCCGTAACTAATTTATTTGTTTTTCAATTTGCCTTTAGAATATTGTTACGCAATTTGGGTGGATATCGATAATATTTTTATTAAATATATTTGTCTGTTCTGTTTTTAAAATCATTACATTTCAGTCTTTTTTTTTCATTCACAGACATAGTTGCCTACTTCGTATATGTATGTGACACCAACGTCTCACTATTTCTTTAGCGATTTTGTTTATCACAGGTTTTTCTTGTTGTGGTCCCGTACAGTTTCTCTATTCTGTTTAAGTCGGGTTACTACAGCGTAGGTCGTTGTTTATTTTTATTTTACTATTTTCATTGGTAATGAGAAAGGAACTAAGTGAGGTTATTAGCATTCTTAATCTATCATATCAGCTATAAAATTGATGAATGGGGTTTTTGATTTAAATGTCATCCCTTTTTAAGAAATGTATGTTTTGAGATTGCACCTAATAATAATAATTATATAATTGGCGCGTCGAGCCTAATAAGCTCATTTCTTGATTGACCATTCTCCTCCATTTCTGCTTGACCATATCTTTTCACCTCCAAATTGTTGTCTCAACGTCACATATTGTATATATAATTATAGTATTATTTCATTCTTCCTTTCTTAATTATACTTTATAAATCATTTATTTCTATTAATACAAAACCATATGTTTTCAGGTGTTGAATTTACAAAATGGATGATCCTCAATATCCCCCTAATGTTATTGATGATGTATTTGGGTATTATCTGGATGCAATTCTGGTTCATGGGTCTCTTCAGGCCGAAACTCAGTAGACGCAAAAAAGATTAGAGTCGGTCAGCAGGGTGAAGCTGTAGCCAAAAAGTTAATCAACCACCAGTTGGAGCAACTTGGACCAATGTCCTTTCACGAAAAGGCGATTGGGTTGTGTTTCTTGTTGTCCATAATCTTGTGGTTCTTCAGAAAGCCGCAGTTCGTTCCTGGATGGGCTGAACTTATCACTGATCATAAGGTACGTTATTATAATTTTTGTAATCATGCAATAGTAGTATTAACGGGACAAATGTTAAAATTCAGAACTCCAAGAAAACGGTATAACACACCGATACGTACATCTTAAAACATCACACAGTGCACTCTACTTTTACATATGATTTGAAAAGGTCATTCTGATGTTGTTTCGTGAGTTAGTGTTTATTGGGTTAGTACGATACGTGTACTATTTACACTATCATTTTCAGGTGAACATAAAACTACTACTATATTTTTAAAAATGTGAAACATAAATTGTAATTTACAAATGCTATGGGTATTTGACGTTTTTATTTCCAATTAAAAAATCGTTTTAAAAGTACTTAAATATTTTCGAGTTTAGACATAATTGAAGCGTGTCAAATATAATTTTTTTTAATTATCATTGTGGTCTCTTCCCAAAACACGAAGTAGTTAATGCAAAAATGCCACAAGGAAATATTTTCTAAATCGTATTAATTACCACGTAAGAGGTCTCAACGGCAAGGAGGGAAACTTGTAGAAGAATTTAGTAAGGCTAAATAGACATACTAGGAATCACAGAGGCCAAAAGAAAAGGTAAGAGCACACTGTTTTTTGGAAAAATGGCCATTTTTTTAATCCTCAGTGGAGCACCCCCACCAGAAAGAGCACGTGAAGGAGTTGTCTCATCAATAGAAACTTGACTAGTAGCATTAAAGATTAGAAATGTATTACCGACAGGATCCTAAAAATTAGAATGACACCGAAGAGAACAAAACTAAGTCAACATCTTGTTATATTATGACCAAACGATACCGAAAGAGCGAACACCAAGGACATTTTATTGGTGGAAAAGACGACAGAGATCATAGATAGCGCAGAAAAGTAACATAAATAATAATTGGCGAATCTCAATGGTAGAGTAGGCGTAAAAGACCAAGAATCCTCGATGTAGTAGGACAACACGGAGAACAAGAAAGAAACAATAATGGTCAACGAATTATAGACTTTTGTAGAGGAAATGACCTGATAATTATGATTTTGTTTTTCCAACACAAAGATGTGCACAAATATACTAGAGAAGTCAAGTGTAGAGAAAAAAAGTCCATTATTGACTATGTATTGGTAAACAGACCCTTAAGACAATGTATCAAAGATGTGAGAGTCAAAAGGGGAGCAGAAATATATAGCGACCATTATCTGGTAGTATCCCGAACTAGTATCGGTGTGGAACAAAAACGCACGCAGAAGATACCAAGAAAAGTTGTCCCCAAGAAATCTCACCAACGCAGTTATTAGGTCATACAAGTTAGCAGATAAGAAAATAGCACAGAAATACAAAAGCTATGTGAACAATAGTCTACAAAAGCACTTAAAACCAGAACTATGGCTTAGAAGAAACTTGGCAAAAACTCAAAGAATCTCTCCTACATGGGGGCAAGCAAATCTGCGGATAGCAAAAATCAATAAAAACAGACAAATGTACGAAATGGGGAGTAATGAAAGTAAAGAAGAGATCAAATCCCAGAAGTTAGCGTGGAAGAAATATCTAGTGAACCAGAATGCAGAAAGCTAATCAAAAATAAAGCAACAGAGGGCAAAAGTAAAAGACATGGTGATTGAAGCAAAAAAAAGAACAGCTAGAGGATTTTGGGAATAAGCTGGAGAAAGACTACCACACTAACCAAAAACTATTTTACAAAACTCTGAGAAGCCTAAGAACAGAAAACAGACAACAAACACCAAAACAAATAAAAACAAAGAAGGCCACATACTCTGCGAAAAACGAAAGTAATATGAACAGGTGAGAGAGAATATTTCAAAGATCTTCTGACTCAAAAGACTATAAAAATGAAATAGACAACACTGAAGAAAATCCATATGAGAACCCAAACCAAAACGAAAAAACAATAGAAATAATAAGAAAATAATACTCAGGCTCAAAAGAGGAAAGGCAGCTGGCTATGATAATGATAATGCGGAAATGCTAAAAAATATGGGAGAAAATGGAAATGAAATGCTTGCAATAAAGCATGGAATGAGAACAAGATCCCAAAAGAACTGGGAAGTGGCGTTATTCTACCCAAGGTGACAGACGAGAATGCAGCAAACTACAGAGGTATAACTCTACTGAGTATCCCTTCCAAAGTTTACTAACGAGTACTGAAGAAAAGGCTACTACAAGAAGTAGACCATAAGCTGGAGCAGTCACAGAGCGGTTCAGGAAGGAAGAAGCATCCATGACCATGTTTTTACACTTAAGCATCTAATACAAAATGCACGAAATACAAGCACGGACCTATACCAAGTCTTCATAGACCTCGAAAAAGCATTTGATAGAATCCCGCGAACCGAAATAGACAAAAGCCTAAGAAACAGAGAAGTAGACAGGAAAACTCAGAAAAGCTATTATGAGCCAATACAAGAACACAAGAAAATAGATTAAGAACAGATAATATGGAATAAGAGAAGTTTAGAGTCAATGATGGCTTACGACAAGGAGGTGTACTAGGCCCCATCCTGTTTCAATATTGTACTAGATGATGTAAATGAAGGAAACTAGAGAAGAAACATCGAAAATATTTGTTGGACATATAAACCTGGAAATGATACAGATAGCGGAATGCACATTTGCAGATGATCTCGTCGTATTTGAAGAAACGAGGACGCACTTAAGAGAAACCTCCAAAAATGGAGAGATACAACTTGAAAAACGTAATATGAGAATTAATGAAAGTAAAACCAAGGTCATGGTATGTGGGGAGAACAGACCAACATACAAAGATTAAAATCAATAACTTTACTTTAGAATAAGTCGAAACCTTCAAATACCTGGGAGATGCAACTAGAGAGTAAGGGTACACAAGAGCAGAGATAAAAAAAAGATAGAGAAGTATCCCAAAAAGCAAAGATAGCTATCTATAACACATTTTTTGTACCTTATCTTAACATTTGGATGTGAAAGCTGGACGCTTACCACCAGACTAAAAAATAAACTGCAAAGTATTTCAATGAAGTATCTAAGAAGAGTACTAGGGGGTAACCAAGAATGGACAGGATACGGAACGATGAAATAAGAGAACGCCTTAAAGTCCAATCAATAGAGAAGAAAATCGAAGAAGCCCAACTGAGATGGTACGGCTATATGGTAAGGATGGATAAAAAAAAGCCAAGTGAAACAAGGGTGGGAAGCGAGAAGAACCTTAAAAAGATACGAGGGGCAGACTGATGAAGACCCTGGACGATGAATTGCCGCCATACTAGATAGAAGAGAGTCACCAAGTAGCAAGCGTAAGAAATTGGCAAGCAACAAGAAGAACTAGAGGAAGTTTGTATATGAAACCTAAAAAGAGTACTTTACACCCCAACACCTTAGGGTGAAGGGTTATTGATTATATATATATATATATATATATTATATATATATATATATATATATATATATATATATATATATATATATATATAACAATTTATTGTTTTGGATGTATCAGGTATGCGATCTGTTATTAAAAAAAAACTCTTTTTTCTTTTATGACTACTATATTCGCTGATTTTTGTCAGCTTCTTCAGGAGATAACAAAATATGGGTTAAAATTTTATATACATAACAGGTGATAATAAATAATATAATTAGGTGATATATATTCGGTCGATAATCCTACCAGTTTTGCTATATATATATATATATATATATATTATATATATATATATATATATATATATATATATATATAATATAGTATATATAATTAATACACGAAATATTAGATCGCTTTAGTTATTCCAAATATTTTTTTCAAATATTACCTTTTTAATGCCCTTCTTCTCCATTGTCTTATGTTCATTGTTTGCAGGTCGTCTTCCACGTCATCCAACCATCTCGTTCTGGGCCTTCATTTTTTTCGCCTTCCTATGGGCTTTCATTGTAACATTTTCTTTGTTGTTTTTGCATCGTTTTGTCTCTGCACATGTCCCAGCCATGACAGTCTCTAAAAGTAAATTAACAAATCTTACAATGTCATAACCTTCATTTAACTCATTAACCTCAACAAATAACTAACTACTAAATAATATTAAAATAACTATAACACGACAAAACTGAATAAAACCATTTTTACAAACAAACAATTCAATATAACAAATAAGTGATGGCATCTTATTCTTCTGTTTATTTATCAAAAATAGTTCAAACGTACCCGATTTAATACCTAAGAAAGAAATTCCTATAATAGATAATCCTATTATAGATAAGCAGTTCTTTTAGATGTAAAACGCTATTGCTCCCAAGTATTGACTTAGAAAGTTCCTTTCGATAAGAAATACTTCCAAAGCAACTCAACTGTTTATGTATCTTTGGTGAAATCGGGTATTTGTATCAGTAGCTGGCTTAACGGGATAATACTTACTACAGACTTATGAATTACGTTAATTTTTGTGTCGTGTCTTATAATGAAGAAAATACCTTGGTATACAGCGTCAGTGTTGATAAAATTTATGAATCGTGCAAGACAATGAAAATAACATTAAACAATATTAATTTTGGTATCATTATTTTGAAAAGAAATTGAACAAGTTATTGTTTTTAATGAACTTTTCAAATTTTGCTGCCTTCTGAAATATGTCACCCGGGGCACGTGCCTCTCTGCCCACCCTAGTTCCAGACCTGGGAAATGAAGTGTAAAAAAAATATAATGCAATAGAATTAAAATTGTAATAGATAGTAATAATTGGAATTTTACAAAATTACCAAAACTGATAAAATAGGATTTTGTTTTATTGAATTTGATTTTGCATGTGTTAACAGTTTTTGTATGCTTTAATAGTAAATTGGTGATTATAATGTTAAAAAAATGATTATTAAAATGAAGAAAATACGCAGTTATTCCTTGGCTTTGATTACGTCGTAAAACGTATTTGTTTATATTATTTTTTTCTTCAATAATCAGTATTGCACATTAGAACTTTACTCAACTGATACGGTTCGTCAACATTCTGTTCTTAGAAGAGATCGTGGCC